AAAAATGAGGAAGTAAATCAATAAAAATATTCCTCTTGATACTATCTTTTGATTATAAGAAGCTTCTGTCCAAGTTTGGTAAAATTCCAGGATAGTTTATGAATCTAATAAATGTTTAAAAACTTTAACTGCAGACTGAATGTAATGTTAACTGGAAGAAAACAAAATTTCCTTCTAGATACTAGCATTTGATCATAAACAAGCTTCAGTCCAAGTTTGGTACAAATCCAAAATAGTATAAGAAAGTTATTAAAATTTTAAAAACTTTAACCACAGAGTGAATGTGTTGATTCCTGGCAGAAAATCTAAGTCCATTTAAAAGTAAAATAAGGAAAAAATGGATTTATTTTTTTATAAAATTTACTTCTAGATACTATCTTATGATCATAAACAAGCTTCTGTCCAAGTTTGGTACAAACCCAGGATAGTTTAAGAAAGTTATTAAAATTTTAAAAACTTTAACCACAGAGTGAATGTAATATTTACCGGCAGAAAAACTAAGTCCATTTATAAGTAAAATACGGAAAAAATGGAATTTTATTTTTACAAAATTTACTTCTGGATACTATCTTATGATCATAAACAAGCTTCTGTCCAAGTTTGGTAGAAATCCAGGATAGTTTAAGAAAGTTATTAAAATTTCAAAAACTTTAACCACAGAGTGAATATATGTGGACGCCGCCGACGACAACGACGACGACGACGACGACGACGCCGACGGAATGTAGGATCGCTATGTCTCGCTTTTTCGACTAAAGTCGAAGGCTCGACAAAAATGTACGAATGTGACATATTTTATGAACTGATCAATTGTGTTGAAAGATATTCAACTGAGTCTTCTAATGTATTTTTATTAGGTGATATAAATGCTAGAACTGCAATAGGTAATGATTTTATAAAACGATAGTTTGTATGGATCAATTTTTGACGATTTCAATCACATTTTTAATTATATGAGTGACAATATAATTTACCTGTTCGAAGGAATCCGGATCAAGGTACCAATGAGTATAGAGTAAAACTGTTAAACTTGTGTAGAAGTACTGGACTTCGAATTGTGAATGGTCGACACAAACGATTTTACTTTTTGTGGTTCGCGTGGTATGAGTGTCGTTGATTACCTTATAGTACCGTTTGACTATTTTCACATGGTGGAACAGTTTAAAGTTAGTAACTTTACTGCGTTCAGTGATCATGCGCCTCTACATATACGTCTACAATGCAAAGCGATGCTTTATACACATGAACAACAAAACCGTAATGTATCTACAAGTACATTTGGCAGTTTTCGGTAGAACGACAACTTAAAAGAAAAGTGTTACGAATCGTTAATTTTGAATAGTGGGTTACTAAGCTGTTACAAATAGTTTTTTGTGATGCTCAAAACTCACAAGATGGTATTGACAATTATATTGAGACTTTTACTACCCAGTTAACGGACATTGTTGCGCCATTTTTTAGAAGTACCAGTAATAAACCGAATGACTCTCAATGCACTAGCCGAAAATTTGTTTGTAAAACTTCTGATAAGCCATGGTTCAATTGTGAGTGTAAAAGACTTCGTCATGTTTATTTAAGTGCGTTAAATATGTTAAATAAATACAAAAAAGTTGAAAATCACCAAAGACTTATCACTACGAAGAGACAATACAAAGTACTGGAAAATAAGTTAAAATGGCAGTACATGTATAAACGTCAAGAAGGCGACATGCTTGAGCATCTACGTAAAAGCGACCCAAAAAATTTTTATAGAATGTTTCAAAAGAAGCGCGCTAATAATCCAGAAGTCCCCCTTTCGTCATTTTTTGAACATTTTAAAGAGTTATCTTCACGTAACACTCCAATATTCAATGACACACAGAGTATACAGGACACTATTTCCGACGCTTCATACGAAGAACTTGACCGTGTTATCACGCAGGAAGAAATTTTGAAATGTATTTCCAAACTGAAACGTGGCAAAAGTTATGGAATTGACGGGATTCCAAACGATTTGTTAATCGAATATAAGTATGTGTTTCTAAGAGGAAATGTTCAACAGGGTATTCTCATCGGTTACTTTCCAACAACATGGACAGTTGCGATACTTGTTCCAGTTTTCAAAAAGGCGATCCGTCTGATCCTGTAAACTATCGCGGCATAAGTTTGGTTAGTAATTTGGCCAAATTGTTCACGTCCATTTTGAAAATGAGATTGTTACTTTGGTCTGATAGCTATGACATTATCACTTATGCACAGTTTGGATTCAGAAAACACTTTTCAGCAAGAATCGTGTGTATTGCTGTTTTGTAGACTACAAACAGGCGTTTGATACAGTATCTAGGCTGAATTAATGGTTGAAATTGTCAAAAATTGGTATTACAGGGAAACTTTTATCATTACTTAAATCGATGTATGCAAATGTAAAATCATGTGTACGTATTGATGGTTTTTAGTCAGGGTATTTCACTAGTACAGTTGGCTTAATGCAAGGGGAAGTACTCCCTCCAATACGTTTTTCATTGTACGTGAACGATTTTAAAATGGAATTTTTAAGTAGCGGTAATGTACCGTATGAAGTACAGGAAATATCTTTATTTTTCCTTATGTAGGCCGATGATAAGATTCTGTTTTCTGATTCTGTAAAAGGTTTACAAGATATGTTAGACACACTTTTATTGTACACTCGTAAATGGGGTTTGACTGTAAACAATGCTAAAACAAAAATAAGGTATTCAGAAATGGTGGTAATGTGAGGGTTGAAGAAAAGTGGTACTTTGATGGTAATGTTATTGACATTGTTGATGAATTTTGTTACTCAGGTATCATTTTCATGGTTCATTGCTTATTTTAAGTTTTTGTGTTTTGGTCTGTTTTTCTTAAACTTTAAGCAATAGGTCAACTATATTTGGTGTATGGAATGATTGTAAGGTGTAAATGTCTATCTGGCAGGTATCATCTGACCTTCACCTCATTTTCATGGTTGATTGGTCAATGTTCATTTTTCCTGGTTAACTTTTTTTCTTAGATACCTTAAGCAATAGGTCAACTATATTTGATGCTTGGAATGATTTTAAGGTGTAAATGTTTGTCTGGCAAGGTTCAAATGACCTTGACTTCATTTTCATGGTTCATTGGTCAGTAAAGAATTTCCATGGTTTGGTCTGTTTCTTTTATACTATAAGCAATAGGTCATCTACATTCTGTGTATGGAGGGGTTGTATTAAAGGTGTACATGTATTTCCGGCTTGGTTTATCTGACCTTGACCTCATTTTCTTGGATCATAAATGTTAATATGATACTTGTAGTAAAACTTTATATGTAGGACTATCAACATAAAATCAATGGTCAGTATAGTAGGCGAGACATTTCAGCGTGTGCACTCTTGTGGTTATTATCTTGAATATTATTAAAGATAGAGATAAACTGTAAACAGCAATAATGTTCAGCTAAGGAAGATCTACAAATAAGTCAAACATGACAAGAATTGTCAATTGACCCCTTAAGGAGTTGTTGCCCTTTAAAGTCGATTTTTAACAATTTTTCATAAATTTTTGTAATCTTTTACAAAAATCTTCTCCTCTGAAACTGATGAGACAAATTTAACCTAACGTATTCACAATCATCATTACGGTATCCAGTTTCAAAAATGTGTCCGATGACCCCGCCTGCCAACCAAGATGGCCACCATGGCAAAAATAGAACATAGGGGTAAAATGCAGTTTTTGGCTTATATCTCTGAAACTAAAGCAAAAGTATAACAGTTGCATTATTTCATGCATCAATTAAAAACAAAAATATCAGGTGAGCGACACAGGCTGCTTGGAGCCTCTAGTTTGTTTTTTAATGTTGATGAGATTTACTACTTCCTTTTCACCAATTCTTAAAACGATTTTGAGCATGTGTTTGCATGACAAGAGAGAAGGGTCTTTCCCCTATACTCAAATTTACCTCACAACAGATCTTATTTCTGAAACATTTAACTGTTTTTTCAATCTCAGTTCCAACGATTTTCATATCCGATCATACACCCAAAATATAAATGTCAACAGATATCTCAGAATTATAATCTATCCCAAATTTGGGATATTTATAAAAATGAACTAGATAAACATTCTAAAATAACCTTATTTACATAGCAAAGTTAATTATGTGTCTATGTATTGAACAAAACTTTGTTTTAGAATCTTGGGTTTTCAATGTTCAACAACTTCGTACTTGAAAAAATGGAAACAACACGTTATAAAATTCATGCGTCCGAAGCGCTTTTCTGGATTTACCTTCATCAGGAACGCTCAAAACCGAATATCGAAAGCCAAGAATGTATAATAACCCAAACAGTTGAAGAGCTATATGACTAAAACCTAAAAAAAATAGCCAAATTTATCTAAGGTCAACTTGCCTGAGGGAGTTGAAACCTAAGTTTTTTTTATAATTTCAAAATTTATTAACGGACAATTTTAGAAATGTTTGTTTTAAATCATGTCAGTATCGAAGCACTGATTACTGAGCTGATGATACCCTAGGGGACTGATAGTCCACCAGCAGAGGTATTGGTCAAGTGCTGTAAAAAATGGAAACAACACGTTATAAATTTCATGTGTCTGATGCGCTTTTCTGGATTTACCTTCATCAGGAACGCTCAAAGCCGAATATTGGAAAGCCAAGAATGTATAATAACCTAAACAGTTGGAGAGCTATATGACCAAGATGGACCCAACAAAATAGCTTAATGTGGCCTTTTAACTATTTTGATTCGAGCGTCACTGATGAATCTTGTATAAACGAAACGCGCGTTTGCCGTTCCAATTTTTCACCCGGTTAACAACAATGAGTTTTCTATTCTGGTTAAAGATGTTAATCAATTCATGAGATCTGCATTTTGAAAATTATAAACTATTCAGTGATGCTTGAGGCTAAAATATTATCAAATCCAAAATCCAACACAAGTGTTTATTGCAATTGATAGAACTGAAAAGGGCCAAATGTATTGCCAAACCCAGACAAGGAACGAGACCGATGTATGAGGTTGATACATTTCTTACTTTCAAATTATTTTCTAAATTTTATAACAGAAAATTCAATGAAACAATATCCGTATTTTTTTAAGCCAGTAAACAAAAAAAATATATTGAGCTATTTCACGTGTGATGGTATGCTCTATGATCTCTGGTACATAAAAATTCAAGTTAGATTCAACATCTTTCCGAGTTTGACCCTACGAACGAAATATATAAAAGAAATGTCGACATTACGTTTTTGTCCACAACAAACAATCCCTGAATTCATAAAAATACTTTAATCATGACATGATACACATTCAACTATTTCTTTTTTTTTCGATTTTTAATCATAATTCAATACAGATTCTTCACAAAATTATTCAAGTACAAACAAACAAATATCCCAATAATATAAAAGAACAAACAAACAAACAAACAAAAAACAAACAAATAAATTGAAACAAGCAATAAAAAAACTTTTTAACTACTAAAATGCATTTCTAAAATACTTGCATTATCTTTCTGGATTTTAAATAATTTTCATAATTCAATGCAAGTTTTTCACAAAATAGTTTCATGTATAAAGAAATACTCCAAAAATATTTAAAAATAAAAAAACAAACAACTTTAAAAAAAAACACACACAATAAAACTCATCTTTATAACCACTAAAATGCATTTCTACAACGCTAATGCTAACCATTAACATTTTTTTTTAGTTTCTAGTCTACTGCGATGCCTTTTCTTATTTGTAAAGTAAATAAGTAAAACATTTTATTACAACATATTGTAATTACGAAAAACATTAACAAAACATAATTTAAAAAATCAAGTTATTAAATGCATACATTTTTTATGCATTAGCAGATCAAAATTATTACTCGAATAATATTAGTATAAATGGTCAATTTTAGATGTGATAAAATAAGTTGGAAAGCGACATCCTTTTATTATAATACATAGGCTTTATAACATTGCATTTGCGGCAGATCTATCAATTAAAATAAATATCAAAATATATTAAAAACCTTTCTAATCCTAAAATAAAAGAATAAATTGTTCACATATTATGAATATTAATTAATATTAAAAACAAATTTCGATTAAGTATGTTAAAAAAAAAAAGACTACACCTACATTGCAAATTAAAGGACTTAAATTATTTAGCTTTAGGGTAACAAAATGATAATTTGAATTAGGCATATATCATGAGAAATGGAGAGTTTTAGAATATTGTATCTAAAACAAAAACTTCAATTTAGAAAAGTCACTGGTATTGAAAACATAAACTGCATTAAGTAGAGGATGAAGTGATTTTACATCATTTTGTAGACAAATAAAAGCGTTTATATTTTCAAACATTCATCATATATAATGTTACCTTAATTTTTGGTGTAAGTAAAAGACTTATGTAAACAACTGAATATTTTGGTGTAAGTAAAAAACTTATAAATGACTCAAAAACAATTCATCATTTAAAATCCGATATCAGACCATTTTCAGAACGTTTGAATAACTCTACAATTGACTGTTAATTTACATGACTACATTTTGAACAAGATTTTTTTTATCTCTATATCTACTATTTTGCAATATTCAAGGGCAATAACTTTTATAAATAAAAAGAAACGAAAGAGTAAACAATGATTAGATTTATGGTAAGTGTATCTTCCACTGGACATCTATATTAGTATTTTCTGTATTAAATGTATAAAATCCCTCATGGTAATCGAAAAGTCAGTAGTTTGTCATTTGAAGAAATATTTTCAATATCATAAGAACTTTTTAAAGGAACATACAAATAAGTATCCATTTATATAATCAGCAGTATTAACCATAAATATAAGACTCATTGCATGTTAAAATATCAAAGATTACAACAAACAAACACAGACCTTAAAAATTTTAGTAAAAATATATCAGTTACATTATTAACATTAATCAAACAACAAGCACTCTATATAATTATAAATAAGTTAACATAAAAAAAAACAATATAGTGAATATAATTTCACAATTGAAAAAAATACATATATAACTTCCAAATAGTAATATTTCGACAGTGTTGATTTAATGCATGACCGAGTGAGTTTTCTTTGAATAACTTCAAATTTGGACAAGATTTATGATCTTTTTAGTAACCCTGTCTTTGTCATATGATCTTTGATGGCAGTGTTGACTCTTCGCAACTAAAATTGTAAGAGCAAGTTTCAAAGGATATTGAGGCTATTCGTACAACTCAGATAATCTGTAATAATCCAGGGCAATAACATGCATATGCTTGAAGTAAGCGTTAACAATAATAATTATATGAAAAGTTTATCTCATGCCCCTACATTTGTATTTTCTGTATAAAATCCCTCTTGGCAATCGAATAGTCAGTATTTTGTCATTTGAAGAAATATGTTTAATATCATAGCACCTATTTAAAGGAACAACATTATAATAAGAAACATTTTATATCAACTGGAGTATTCCCCATAAATATAATACTACTTGAGTGTTCAAATATTAATAGAGATTGTACAACAAACAAAAACAGATCTATAAAAATTTCAGCAAAAAATGTTTGTGGTATTTAAAAAAGACTTAATCAAACAAAAAGCACCTTATTTAATTATTATAAATTAATACATACACATCAACAATGAACATCAACAGACGTAAATAAAATACATATAAAACATTTCAAAATATTTTTTGACAAGTGTTGATCTAATGCAGGACCAAATCAGTTTTCTAAAAATAAAAAAAATTGGGGCAAGATTGACCATTTTAATCTCTCTTTCTCTGATGGCAGTGACTTCTCTATACAACAACAAAATTGTAAGAATAACTTTCAAATTATGTTAAGGCTATTCGTCTAACTCGTGTAATCTATAGAACCAAATTTCTTAATCAGATTGTGGCAATTCATTTTCCAAGATTATTCCAAGCTAAACACAAATAATGGATTTGACATTAAGGAAATATAGATCGGGAAAAGAAAACTTTAAAAAACCAACAACAATTTCAAGTAGGCAGTGTATCATATCAGTTTTCACAAGAGAGGCAAAAGATACCAAAGGGATATTCAAATTTATTAGTCAAAAACAAACTGACAATGCCATGGCAAAAAACGAAAAACGACCAAAAGACAAACAGTATACAAAACACACCAAAGAAAACTAAAGACTGAGCAACACGAACCCACCAATATCCAGGGGTGATATAAGGTGCTCCGGAAGGGTAGGCATACTTAAAAGAGGGACGAAAGATACCAGAGGGACAGTCAAACTCATAGATCGAAAACAAACTGACAACGCCATGGCAAAAAATAAAAAGACAAACAGACAAATAATAGTACAGATGACACAACATAGAAAACTAAAGACTAAGCAACCTGCTAAACATGTGGCACCCATCGTGTTGCTCATGTTCACAAGTGTATCGTGATGTTGGTCATGACAATTTTACAGTAATTTATAATGAAGGAACATTTTAGTAGGTGTAAATAATTGCAACGGATTTTTCTAAATGAATATAGTAGTTTATAGTTCCTTATAGTAAAGTTACATTTAAAACACAATTTATACTCATGAATGTTTTTTTTCGTTTAATATTAAAATTTACAAAAATGTCCCTTTGCACAAACATAAACCAGTTCAACTATACTTCAGCTGATGAATTATATAAATGTGTCATATATGGATTTGTGAGCATTGAGTTATATATCTAAAAGCACTGAATTGTAAACTATACTGTGACATAGTTGTGATTAAAATCATTTGTCACCGTGTGACTAGGATAAACAAATTGTTTTAACATATCTGCTTAAAAAAGGTTTTAAATCGCAGTCTCATACATTTGTAGTAGATAAAACAAATATTAATAAGTGAACTGGGTATCGACAACAAAACAAATATTCTACTTCTATCTGAATATTTGTAAAAAAAATGTAAACAGGCCACAATGATTAATTCGTAGAACTAATTAAAATAAACCATGCCCTTTTTGTTGACAGAATCTAGTTACAATACAAATACACAATATTACTTGATTAAGGGGAAAAAATAATACTTTTAAACATTAAAAACAGTATTTGTGACGTGCTGATGTAAAGCTGACTTCTCCTTTTTCATTAGTTTATAACTTGCCACGTCTGTATATTTAAATTTTCTTTTCTCATCCATCTAAATAGTGTTCTACAAAAAATTATTTGAACATTTAATATGAATACAGATGGTAATAAATAGCTATGGCAAGTGCAGCATAAAAAACATGATTAAAGGGTCCACAAGGCAAGGTTTGTCGGGAAAAGAATTTTTATTTTTATTTGAAACTCACTATGAAGTTTTATCTGTTTAAGAGAACAAGTAATGCTTCCAATAAACATTTAAAGGAAATACATTAACATAAACCATCAGTTTTTTTCTGAGGAATTAAACGTGAAATCACTGTGACTTTCTTAAAGATGTACAATTTAAGTCTCCTTGTTTGACTCATTTTATCCAATATGCATTCTCAACCGAAAAAATTAGCGACCAAAAACTGTTTATTAATCTCAAGCAAAAAAAAAACAAGGAAATATATGCAAGGGTGTTTAAAATAAACCAAAATTATCAAAATTTAGACATCTTTTTTTTTTGTTTTAAAGGGGTTGACCGGTCATTGATTAAACGTTTTCCCAACATCTCCTTTTGGTCATATCACATACAAATTACGACACGTCTGCACCATATTCTTGGCGGTACGAAAATATTTCACAATTTTGGATCAAAATAATTTAGGGTTATGTCATGGAACGTCTCTCGTCCTTTTTCTAAAAAAGTTCATCGGAAGATACCAATACCTTGTTGATAAATATTTCGTATCAACTTCACAAATAATACACGATGGTCTTGAAGTATAGATTATAGGTACTGACGTTGTTTGTTTATCATCTTAATTACGTGTTATAGTGTTCTTTCATTTGTCTTTGTAAATTATTTACTTTACTGTTTAGTCCATTTTTGGTAATATCCTCTTGGCGTGGCTCGGTACTTATACATCCCGCCATTGTGTTATTGTGCTATCGTCATTTTTTGTATTCTTGTCTTTCATTTTTGCTTATGTGCTTTGCCTATATGCCATTTTGTTTTTCTTTGTTGACATATTTGTTTGGTTTTATAGTTATTAAGATTGTAACACAATGTTGACTGCTGTACCCCTATTATTGACATTTTTACCTATTATGTCTGTTTGTTTTGTTCACACACTGTTGTCAATATAATGGAATTTTATGCGACTGTCATACAAGTGAGAGGTTTAGCTAGCTATAAAACCAGGTTTAATCAATCATTTTCTACAAAAGGAAATGCCAGTACCAAGTCAGGAATATGATAGTTGTTTCCATTCGTTTGATTTTTTTATTTTACATTTTAGCAGTATAGAGGCAACATTGCAATAGTGTGACTGAGTTATAGCCGAAGTTTAATGATTTATATCAATGATTCAACATTTCATAATATACAATTCAAATCAAATAAAACAACAAACTTTTTCACTAGCCTTCATTGCTGCAACTGGGAGATAAGGTGACGACCGTTTGATGTACTTGGGGGATGGGGAGGAGGATTTTAGAATTGATTATCTGGACTTGAAAACAATGAACAAAATAAGCTTCTCCAAGACAGGATGGAAATGAATATTCTGCCCCACAAAAAACATATTAATTGTGTTTAAAAGGTGGAAATAAATATTTCGCCAAAAACAAAATCCTCCAGCCCCTCCCCCTCCAGAAAATAAAAAGGACATCCACTAAGTGCTTTTAAAAATCGTGCCTGGAATTAACTGCCGTTGGGTATTTCTTATTGCCTATATTGTTTTGTAAATACAAATTGCAACAGAGTAAGCCGACTAGATATAGGTTTCAGTTGAAGTTCGTCAGAAAACGAAGTGAATAAAACAATTTCTAGGATTACTTTCAACTGAAATATTCATTTCACTCCCACAGATATCAAGGATTTCCAATAAAAAAATCTTTCTTTTCTACGGTATATTATTCCACTCATTCAGTTCGTCTGGGAGAACTTTTTTCAGGAACGGAGAGATCGAACCGTTTGGAAGTGAAATTAAATGAACATATATATGTTATATATAGATTATTTTTACACAAAAATAATCGAAAATTAAACTGAAATGTTCATGACTATACTCGTCATACTTTATGTGGAAAGAGCTGCTTGTGCATTGAATGTTAACCGGGTTAAAGGAGTAAAACTCGGTACGTCAGACAAACATTCGTCTTTATAAGACTCGTAAGCGGCACTCAAAACAAAATTATCATGGTAAATAGCAAAGCATGATGAGCTTTTTCGTACTCTTTTAAATATACATGTAAGTTGTCTTGGATATGAATAAGTATTTTCTGTGTGGAGAGCCTCAAAGCCAAAGAGGATAAAATAGTCCCTTCAGCTACAAATCTGACAAATACATGGTAATTGATTTAGCTATACTTACATAGAGATTAATAGAACTAGGAATAGAACTCCTCCCATTATCAGGAACACCAACCCAGGATAAAATGAAACCGAGGCTTTGTATACTCCACCATACGTTAATTGTGCAAAGGCAGTGAACAATAACTCTACACTAGCTACACTGGCAAATAACGATCCTGCAATTCAAAAAAAAATATGTTCTCATGTACTGTTCACTGTTCATTTTCGCACAATTTACCTGTTCACTTATTCTGAAAAATATTATATAATTCTACATGAAAGACAACTTAAGGTAGATGGGGTGTCTAAATTATAATCCATAGAATTTTTTAATAATTTGCCAAAATGTAGTTTATATCATGCTTTTTAAAAAAAAAATAATAAAAAGAATGGGTCACGGGGCTAATTTTCACGCTACAGGTTGTGCAAAATTGACAGATTTTGTATAGATTATGCATGGAAAACCCAATTTTCTGCATAAAACGAAAACTACACCATAGAATTTTGAGATAAAATATGAGAAGATAGCTCTAATAGTATGCTTTCAGATAAGAAATGAAAAAATGGGGTCACGGGACCCGTTTTCTTGCTACATAATAAAATAGGTAAATTCCTAACACATTCTATTGTAATAGTAACTTTATCTGAATTATCTGCCCTTACATTTGAGTTGCCTCCCCTTATGTGGCAAAGTTGGAAAAAATAGAATCAAACAAAAGTATTCTGTTTTTTTGTAAAATACAACCATAAATATGAAAAAATATGTCATTTTATATATTGAAATGAAAATGCTTACACATGAAGTACCTACTACTCTCAAAATTTGCACCTTTTATTAAAGATCTAGACCGATTGTTTTCTGGTATTTCAAAATCCAAGATGGAGGAAGACACCCTATCTACCTTAACTGCATGTATTTATAAGTTATAATCTAAATGTTTAATTATATGCCAACGTTCATTTTTAGAGCATTACGTATATTTTTCAGTTATTTATAGTTTTGTTTTAGAACAATTCTTGAATAATCTTTTACATGTATAATACGATATTTTTTTTTCATTTAAGGAATGACTGTAATATTTTTTCTGTCTATTGGAAATAACATAAACAATGTGGTGCACTCTGAATAACCTGCGTAGCGGTTTATTTAAAAGTGTGCACCACATTTTTTAGGTTATTTCGAATAGCCAGAAAAAATATTATTCATTCCTTATAATTTAATTCTATATTCAATTTTTAAGGAGTAAATTTTGAAAAAAACGTTGGTGACGTCACGATCACATGACAAAATTATGTGTATGAGCTGATAGACAAAACACTTTTAGCCAATCAGAAGACGTGTTACATCCAAAATTAAATTATTTGGACTTAATCAAATTTTCTTTACCTTGTTCGGCTGCTGTACATTGACGTGACATCATAGCTCTAACCGTCGGAAATACGGCAGCTGAACATATACCAACAATAACAACTGTAAGATATATATATATATATATATAATAGTATATAGAAAATGGTTAAATACGATATTTGAAAACGAGGATTAACGTTATTTTCATTAGTCTTTTCTTGCAAGTATACTTTGGGCTAAAGACTTTTATGTCCTTTTTGTCTTACGGTCATTTTATTCGAAATGCTCCTAACAAAGGATGACTATACTTGAATAAAATTTCTTCCGCAATACCTGTGGTCATGCATCCCCTCCCTCCCAACTTTTTTTTCTGGGGGTTTGTGTTGATCAATCTTTAGTTTTCTGTTCAGCATTTTTTTTTTACTTTTTTTTTCTCCTTGTCATTTTTTTCGACTTTATTATCTTCTAATTTTTTTAATGAATAACGAGACTGTCATGTTTTTACTTTAGTTTTTTCAGGCATCATCCTAAGTTACAAAGATTGATAAAATTTGATCCGTACAATGTACATGTACTTGAATACTTGAACATTAATCCCCAAATTTGGTTATTATATTTTTATTGAGTTTATAACACGGAAATTAACTCGTTTTCCTTTCCGACACTTCAACGAAACAATCTTATCTTCCTCTCATTAAAACTAAAATATCACTTATGTTTGTGCATTATCAAAATTACAATAGAATATTCATATTTCCAAATTTGTGATAGTCAGTGACATCAATTAAATCAACTTAAGTTATAATTCTTTCAAAGCAAACTCCAGAACTAATGCTGAAGCATTTGAAAAAAGTTTATATATTTCCAAGTAAATTTCATATTTCTGCAATAAGTTCAAAAATCGTCAAAAACTATAGAATCCCTTTTAGTACTAGCTATTATGATAGGTAAAGTTAGAAAAACCGGTAAAAATAAACTGTTAGCGATACAAGTCTTCATATTTAAGACAAGTAGATGAATGGAGTTCAGTAATTGCATGGACAAAAATTCGTCAGAGGGCTACATGTAGATAGTCAGATCATCATTCCGAAACATATGCTCAAGTTTGATGTAAATTGGTAAAAACATATTCAAGTTATGGCAAGGACAGACAAAGGTCTTCATTACAAGCCCAGTCAACTTCAAAGGCTGGGTATGTTTGATTGATTCTTGTTTACGTTAAGATGGCAAATATTATTTCATGCATATTCAGGACGATAAATACGATAGGCAGAGGCAGATTTAGGGGGGGGGGGGGCTGTGGTCCCCCCCCCTTATGGAAATTTATTTATGGTTAATCCAGACTTTTTACCGGTTCCACTACAAATTTTGTCAAGTTTGGGGGCCCGTGCCCCCCCCTTCCAAATCCTAGATCCGCATCTGGATAGGTACACGAAGGTTCTGGAAGCGTAGGTCGACCAGGATGAAGGGCGGGAAATTTGGATTGCCACTTGCAATTAAAAGTTTATTTTTACATGTATATGGGCTAGGGTCACAGATTATCCCTTGCAACAGGCCACCTACAGGCCCCACAGAGAGTTGTTGCAAGGGTCCTTAAACTTGCTGCACATGAAAGCACGGCGTCTTAACTCCAACCAGAAACCCCACTTTAACTATTGTTTAAGTAACGGCCGGGAGATGTCCAATGATGACTATATTTCTATATCTCTTGTCAACCCTTGAGGTGCTAAGATGGATAAAAATTAATGTAAACGAAAATTAAATACTAGTACATGTACTTACACAAATAAACAAGCCAGCCTTTTGTCGCAAATGCAAGAAGGAGACTGGCAGATGCTGCAGAGAGAGTTCCAATCACTAAAATTACATAGTCTTGAGTGAATACATGTAAAATACGAACTACAATCATGGCTGCAACCCAGTTCGTGAATGTCTGAACTGACGTAAAAATTTGAACTTTGACCTCAGTCCAACATATTGGTGATTTAAGTAGATAAAGTGTTAGCGTACTTGATCTCCCCAGTATAGCAGCACCGGAGAGGGCCAGGATAAATACCGATGCTGTTAACTTCCGTCGTCTCCCTTCCGGACTAGGTAAAACATAAAAACGGTAGCATTTGAAAAAATATACAAGACCGAAGGTTTCGTTGCGACCCTGCATTGGTGACGTTTCTGGAATACATAAAACACAGAAAGCTATTGTAAGTATAGTAACAACACAAATAAATATCATAGGAAAGTAGAATTCTCCGTATTTAATCCAGTAGCCCATTCCAAGTGTTGCGAGGGAATAGGTGATTGCTGCAGTACCTTCTACGACAGACAACCTAAATGCCCTATTTTTACCAGGTTCCGTTACATCGGCAGTCATTCCAAACAGTGCCATCAGCATGCCTCCAAAGCCACCAGTAAGGCCTTCAATCACTTGTGCAAGATACAAAATATATAAAGATAAATGAAAATGTATAACTATAATGTAAAGTATCTCTTTTAGTAATAAACCAGCTAAACAAAAGCACAGTACAAATTTTCTCCCTAGTCGATCCGAAATCGATCCTAGACATACAATTGGAATTACCGATAAAAATGTACTACAAAATCCAAGATACATTAAAAATTGTGAAGATTCCTCTTCGATTTCATCAACTACAGTTTTCTCATTATTTGACGAATTAGTACTAGGACTGTGACATTTTTTCTCCTCGTGGTTTATAAAATTGGAAACATTATGTTTTTCTGCTATCACTGTGATTGCATAGTATTGCTGAACTGGCAGAATACAACTTGCAGCAAGAAAATATAGCACGACTAAGACTTCTATCGGCGTCCATTTTGATAGCTGGAAACGCTTTGTTCCTCTAGCTGAAGGGTTTAACAAAGGAGTGGTGGCGTCGTCTGTTGCCATCTTTACTTATCTGAAGAAGAAAAAGTATTACAACTGAAAAACTTTGTCAACTCTACCAATAATAAATCGAGCACTCCGCGAATAAAAAAAAAGCTTACACCGTTATTGTAGAAAAAAACCTATTTAAAAGTAAAGCAGCATTGAAGTCAGAAGACTGTTGGATAAGGCCAAAAGATATTCTGGTATTTAACAGTGCATAACGAGACATTTCTATGCTTTAACGGTGCATAACCAAAAATCTCCATTGAATGTCTTAGCGTAGGCTTGAACATTCAGAGTATAGGTAAGGATGCTGGAAACACAGTTAAATGTTTGGCCCAAAGTATACGTTCGAGCTTGATTCCAAAAAATCAAGGATTCTTAGATATAGTATTGCTTATATTGTTTTTATTGTAGGTCTGTCTCTTTGTCATTTGTAATAGACGTATACCAGCATTATCTAGTTAACTCTTTTTTAGTATACATGTATATCATACATTAACAAAATTGCTTTATCCAGAAACAAGTTTAGTAACAAAGGAGATTCAATAAGGAGTCTGGGTCGGTAATTTTTATGTTTTATATGTGGAATGCGCTCTGACGTCTCGGCCTATAGTTGACAGTTGTAACATTTAAAGTCATGACAGTTGTGACGATCTTTTTGCAATTGGGAGAAATCAAAACATTCAAACTTTATAGGATAAAATTACTGCTCATACCGACGAGACAAATATTCAATCAAGTTTTAGATTCAAATAAACAATTAATTTCGAATACATGTATATACAACAAATTATTACATTTTTTTTACTTGCATTACGAGACGAAGTTCTCAACATCACCGGTCCTCTTCAAAGTTTAAGATATACATGTTCTGATCATCATGAGTCATCGATAAGATATACAGACTGGGAGAGACATGTACATGTATATAAGATCACATGTAATCACATGTACAACGTTATACATTTTACATGATTATTCTCATTTCTTTTGAATTATTCAATTTTATGGAAACGCCTTTAAATATGATTAACTTCAATACTTAATAATAAATTTGATAAATTAACTGCATGTACTTTATATCTAAACTTTTGACCTCTTAAAATCGATTAAAAGTTTTATGTTATGTTTTGAAACATGTATATTTTTTTCATGAAGTTTATGGTGAGCGATTAAATATTTAATATTCACTACCGAGAATTGTGTGTGAACTTTCTTAAGTACATTACTTCTAACACCTGAGATGAATTATTTCATTTATGACTGCTACATTAGAGCTTATGTTATATCCTTATTTGTAGACTATGCCGACTCTAAATAACGCATTTATAAGTTATTGACGTAGAATGATGTGCGACTGCATAAGGTTAACTTTTTTAAATGAAATGTATTCATGGTATTTGTATAAACATCATCGCAAATTATCAAACAACCATATTTAAAATCGGGAAAAAATAATTATTGCAACAGTAGAACTATATTTATCGAGTCATCTAGGTCTTTTGATTATACTGCCACTTTCAAACGAGAAACTGTGTTGAGGGGGGGTACCCGAAAATGTTAAATACATTATCAGTTTGCATGTTTTAAAAACAAAAAATATAATGAGGTTTTTTTTTCAAACTAAAGCCAGTGATGTCCAAATACAAACCGTGTGCATTGTAACACGATCAGATAACAAGCAAACAAGAGTCTATACCTCTTGTATAGAAAACTTCTGGCTTTAATCATTATACAATATTCGTACATGTAACCACAAGATCGAACTGAAAATCCGACACTTATATACATGAATGTGTATGACAGACTTGAGAGTTATTACTGTTAAGTGCAATGTATTTTATCCGATTTGTAGAATTTACAGTAAGGCGAATTTGATGTTGGGATATGACAGGCGTTTCGTTATTTTTGGAAATGTTTATCGATAAATGTGGGGTGAGTCACTGACATGGGGTGCTCACACTTCCGCCTTGTTTTTCCCTTCTTTTTCCAATATCCTGCATACCCAATTTTTAACCCCTTTATCCCAAATCCCCACTTTGATTACCACCTACATGTATATCCGACATCCCAAATACGTGTCATCCCCTCCATATTACAGTACAATGTAAATTAGGATTTATATACATGTACATGTATAGAGGAATTAATTAAGGGTACTCCCGTGGGGGTTGGGACCAACTTTTGGTGAAAATTCCTATTAAATCATATAAAAATTAACAAAAACAAGACTGGCATTTGTTTTTTCCAGCTCAACTTATGAGTTTTTAACATTTCTGATCCTGCAGCTGAACCTTAACTGTTGATGATAATGGTCAGTATAAAATATTAAAAAATACTTGAATATAACTTAAAAGGGGTTGTTATTCAAAACTTGTCATACGAGTGTAAATCTAATCAGTTTATGATCAACATATAATAAGCATTCAATAGTAGTCAATAAGATATATACATATTAGACAGTTCATTTCATGAATATTGACATAAAGGTCTTTGTTAACCTGTTGACGGGGGTTAAGTTGCGGTCAGTATGTCGATTATTACATAACTGCATTACATTTGTGATATTTATAATCATATTAAAATGCAGAATTTGGTTTCTCTACATGCATATCTTGAACATTACTTACCTGTAAATCGTTATCAATGTAAAATACTTCCGCAAGAAAGGCATATCTCATGAGGAAGTACCGCGTGACAATGTTATTATTTATTGTTTACATGCATTCGGAACACCTCGGATTATCATAATTATCCCCCCTGATTTTCCCGCCATATTTAAGTTAGATTTCACCAAGGAATTGTATATTTCAAGGAATTGTATATATACAATTCCTTGATTTCACTAAACCAATTAACAGATTAAGAAGACACATATCATTTTAAATTATATAGACGACGGATTCATTAATGAAAGCAAGCACAAACTCTATTATAAAAAAAATCAGCAGTCAGAGCACACACACATTCTGACAAAGAATGTACTTTTCCCTTAAGTATACTATATATACCATTGTGATATCAATTCAGCAAAATTACATTATCACTGGAATCAGAAGGCCATTACTAGATTTTACTGATAAGATAAGTGGACTAACTTTTATTGCAGTTAACATTTACGTATAGTCTGGGATAGTATATATTTTAGACATCATTTAGTAAAGGAATGTTTTGAAACTTGGAAATAAGTTTCTTCCCAGATCAAGAAATAGCATCTTACGGAAAATTTTTTTTTTCATTTTAATAATAAATTGACTGTCAGTTAGTTTTTGGTAATCAATATACACTTTCACAATTACAGCAGCAATCACAGGCGGGACATAGGGTTCTGTGGAACCTTTACATTTTGTTTTATGTTGTTTTAATGGCATAGAATATTAAAGATAAAACCTGTTTTTTGTATTTTAATTTTATTCAATTAATTAACAACCAGAAAAAATTGCATAGTTTGAAAATTATAAAAAATATATTGAATATTCTCATATATCTTCAGATTGATTTTGCATTTAACAACCATTTATAGGAAAGATTTCCTGGTAAAGTGAGCAGTGTATTTAAAATGATTTCATTCAATAATTATTTTGGGTAAAGTATATTAATTATTTCCTATTTTTTAAGATAGACTTCACAAATCAATTATTTATCAAGAAAATTGCCCCATCTTAGATATCATGACAATCTTTGAAATCTGCAAAATTACAAATAATTGTTATTTCACGAAAGAATTAAAAACAAAAAATCCAGAAAACTTTAAATACAAGATCTATGAATAAAAACACAATGCATAAAAAAGTAACTACAAAAGTATGGAGTTTAAAGATTCGAATATATTATAAACCTTCAGGTAGTATATGGGAGTATAAACAAAAAAGGATTAACTTTTTCATACTTTGCCAAAATGTAGTATATATTATGATACAAAATGTATGTTCAAAAATCTAAAAAAGATAATAGGTCACCAGCTTGTTTTCAAGCTACAGTTTGTGAAAAAATTACACATTTTGTATGGACTATAATAGTAAATAGAAGGTTTAAAACGATCTAAATGATAGAATTTTGTAATAAAATATGACAAGTTAGCTCTTTTAAAATGCTTTCAGAATATCAAACAAAAATTGGGGTCTGTGAATGTAGGTTTTTTCCTGCTATAACATAAAATAGAAAAATTTCCAGTAGATTCCATTATTAACTACTTTATATGCTAAGTGAAAAGTAAAATGAAATCAATTAAAAATATCTTATTTTGTTAAATTATAAATGATTTTAAGATATAATCACATTAATTTGTTCATTTAAATGCAAATTCTTATTTGAAAATTGCGTCAAGGCATCGAAATTTGGCGACTTGAATGAAAATCTAGGCCTATTTTGTTGTGCTATTTTACACAATCCGAGATGGTGGAAGACCCCATTCCACCTTACATCAGAATATAGCTATCGTAAATTCATTTTTAGAATAATGTATTAAACATCAAGTATGATTTGGGGGGAATGTATTTTTGGACGATCAATGCATTTGAATGGGGATATATGGTTGGAACCCCCCCCCTTTATCCTGGGTTGGGAACCCTCTCCCCCCCCCTTTAAAATGGCTGGATCCGCCCCTGGATGGTATAAATTGTACCTTTGATAATTGATTCACAATTTGTTTAGACTCTATGGTGAACCCATTGGATGTTCTTTGTTGTAATTTTTTATTGTAGGTTGCTATTTCATCGACATCAACCCTGTCCATATTTCCTTTTAATCAAATGAAACAAGTTTCTATAAAACTCTGGTAGATAATTGTCTCATTGATGTTATATTTACATATCACTCTATATTCTTGACTCATATAACATTATAATAAAATTGAGAATGGAAGTGGGGATCGAATATGTCAAAGAGACAACAACCCGACCAAAGAGCAGACAACAGCCGAAGGCCAACAATGGGTCTTCAACGCAGCGAGAAAATCCCGCACCCGGAGGTGGTCCTCAGCTGGCCCCTAAATAAAATGCATGAATACACAAAATAAAAGTCAGGATGAAACAGTCATCCAGATAAGAAAATGCAATATTTATAATAGCATTATCTCTTTAATAAAACAGATCTAACAAAAAGTCACTCAAAATAACAAATATTTTAAAACAGAATCTTACAATATAACTAATCAAAATAACACATAATATTTCAATAAAAAGTCATGTGTAACATTATAATCATTCAAATGAACACTATACTTTAAGAACTGTCAGATCTCATCTGAAAAAAAAACATTTCATTCTTATAAATGCTTATTACTTTCAACCTGAATCAAAGTATAAAGAAGAAGGTGCAATATGGCATTCAATACTGAAGTTGAAAAACAAAATCTGATAGAAAACATTAGATGAAATCCCCCAAAAAATTGGGGAAAAATAAATTATAACTACAGAAAGTCTCTGTATGGCCCTGGTGCCCTATCTTAATAAACCTTTATGCTGCATAATTATCTTGTAAATTGTAATTATGCCATGATTTCCCAAATAATGCTGAATTGTGCAGTATTCTGGAGGTAGATAGGAGGGTAGTGTTGAGATGCCATAAACACACCACTTAAATTTGTGTCTTTGAAAAATAAATTTGAATGAAAAATTGTAAATATGTAATGACTAAAAGGTAGTTAAATTGCACTGTACTATTGAACACAAGTGACTAGACATGTGGTTTCAAACTGCCCTTAATGCAGAACTTAATTACTGTAAATTCAGAAACAATTGCGTGCATTTATTAATGCATTTTTTTAGAAATAGACAAAACTGTGAGATTAATTATTGTGATTTCAGGATAATCTGCATCACTTATCAGAATACAAGTTATTATTTTGATACTCAACCAGTCACATTTTTATTCACACTAATAAAAACCTCACAATAATTTCTGAATTCACAGTAACCACGTTTCTAAAAATAAAAAATAAAAAGTGATTCAGAAGATTAAGGGAAATGGTGTATTGCTCATAACAAGAGGATTGTAATGATGGAATAAATCAATGCAGAACTTTGTAACAAAAGCAGTTGGATGTATTAAAAGAGAAGGTGGGCTAAGGGTCCAATTTTGCCTCTAAAAATCAATATATACTGTTAGTTGATAAATATGTACAAAATTTAAACTTTAAAATATTTGAAAAATTATCAATGTTTACGGAGATTAAATGGTCGAAAGAAAAGCATAATTAAATTTTTCTAACAAAAATGACAAAATTTTGCATATTTTCAAACATATTTTTCAGTGGGGTAAAAATATATAAATAAAAGGTGTAATTCATACAGACAAACATAATGGTAAATTTTTCAATTGGTTTTGCTTTTCACAATATGTGTGAGTCTAAAAAACAGATCTTAAATTAAGAATCATTAAGACTTCATCCATTGTGCATGATATAGATACACAGATCTAAAAAAAATTAGGAGATTCCAATCACTCTTTCAGATATAAACTATTGAATGTAGGATTTTTCAACAATTATCTTAATATAAAGTCACAGATCGAAAAGTATAGGAGATTTCAACTACTGTCTTAATATAAAATTGGGAGATTCTAATCAATGTTCCTGATAGACAATTCTAAAATCTAGGAGACTTCAACAACTGTTTCTGTTACAGATATTGGTTCCGAGGACATAATACTGTATAGAACTCTGAAAATAAAAAATAAGGTGAAAAGATCACAATATTTTGAATGTTATATTTAATTTTCTTTTCAATCTGGTGAAAAATGTAGAAAGCCAAACATAAAGCATGAGATAAACAATAAACTGCTTCACTGAGCGCAGCTAGATACGCCCGCTTAGGTCCAACCCTGAACAGTTGGGGCAAAAATGGACACAATATTCAAGCTTGATACAGGTCTGAATTTGGATTATAATTAAATATTTGACATATTATAGGTTTCTAAATAAATGTAGTCAAAGAACTTGAAATTGGTTGTACGAATTGAATTTATATTCAATTAAAGATTTCTTGCTGTTGTGTAATACACTGTGCTGTTGCGCAATCCTTAGTAAATCTGTTGTCAGACTATAAACAAAAAAGTTCAATTTCTTCTCAATGTCATATTTGAAATTTATGAAAATCAATAGGGAGATTACATCAATAGCTATAAATAATTCACCAAAGTTTCATGAGAACTGCTGAAAGCAATTTTGAGAGATTGTCCAAAAACTGGAAAATCCCCCCTTTTTTAATGAATAAATCCCCATAACTCAGAAATCTAAAATCTAAAATTTTTGAAATTCTAAAGGGACCTTACATCAACATATATAAACAATTCACCAAAGTTTCATGAGAACTGCTGAAAGCATTTTTTAGTTATTGTCCGAAAACTGGAAAATCCCCCTTTTTTATGAATAAAACCCTGTAACTCGGAAACGTTAAATCTAAAATTTATAAAAATCCAAAAGGGAGCTCATGTCAATAGATATAAGCAATTCACCAAAATTTCTTGCAAGTTGGTGAAAGCATTCTTGAGTTATTGTCGGAAAACCCCCCCTTTTTTAATGATTAAAACCCCAAAACTCGGAAACGGTAAATCTGAAATTTATAAAAAACAAAAGGGAGCTCACGTCAATAGATATAACCAATTCACCAAAGTTTCATGCATATTGGTTAAAGCTTTTTTGAGTTAATGTCCAACATGTTGACGATGGACGGACGGACAGACGGTCAACGGTATACCATAATACGTCCCGTAAACGGGCGTATAAAAATATCATTCTTTCCATAAGACATAATTACCACAACTTCATGGTGAACTACCATAACCAAAAACTTTAAACCGAGAATGCACCGTATTTTCACACAGAGTGTGTTAAAGGTGATCACAATTTTGCACTATCTAATTTCTATGTTCAGTGAACAATGAAATCGGAGTCAAAACCGTAATTTGGTAAAACATATCAAAAGTTTACATCATAATGAACATATCTACTTGGTTTCAAGTTGACATGACCACAACTTCATGGTGAACTACCTTTACCAAAAACATTTAACTTGATATGAGACGTTCTGACGGACGGACGGAAGCACAAACTACATTAGGCAGGGCATTACTAGAAACAACAAGAAGTCGTTCTCTCTCATCTAGTTTCTTTGTATTAGTTTGACTTTACTACATGTTGCATCATCCACATACTACATTTCAGAATTATTTGGTCCCAGCAAGCAATAAAGATTAAAGACCTGTCTTTCTGTTTAACTCCCTTTGTTCCGTATCTACATGTAAGTAATACAATGTATAAAAAATTAAAAGAAAATAAGGCTGGACTCTCCCTTTCCCAGGGGAGCCTCCCTTTCAAAAATTTCTGCGCCTATATAGTAACCGAATACCTATTGGCTAATTTAATTAATGTTTTGGTTATTAACCATAACATTATAAACAAAAAGTTCAGAAATTTACCATTTATCCAATGTTTGGTTGCTATTTTTATTTGTCACACTGTTCAGAATTCTTTCATTTAAGATATTGTCAAAATTTCTATATCTTTAATCTAGGAATAGCATACTTGATATAACTTATCATTATATTTTATAGGAGTAACACGACGGGTGTCACATGTGGAGCAGGATCTGCTAACCTTTCCGGAGCACCTGAGATCACTCCCGATTTTTGGCGGGGTTCGTGTTGCTCAGTCTTTAGTTTTCTATGTTGTGTTTTGTATACTATAGTTTGTCTTTTGGTCTTTTTCTTTTTTTGCCATGGCGTTGTCACTACAGCATAATAGTTATTACGTCGAGGTTGAATTCCCTGTCATTTATTCATCATCCACACACGAACTTGTATCAGAAAAAAATATATATATGTACCTTAACCTAACTTTCAGGTATAGAGATGTGATTTTTTTCTGAGACAAGTGCTTGTGACCATCCACCAGAACTTGCGGTCATTCGATGGTCAGTACTTTGATTTTTATATAGTATGCAAGAAAATAATAAATAAACGTTAATGTGGGAAACAAAATAATTTGCGGTACGGTGTTAAACAAATTTTTCAATCAACACAAAATCTCACTTTTACTCTTATAGACAATTCATACAATTCCTATTCTTTATTTAAAGGTGGAATTTTACACCCTGGTACTTTGGTTTTTGTTGGATGGTGGTCTCATTGGTACGTCTCCGTATTTTTATATCTTTAACATGCCTAGTAAACCATCAAATCTCAACCAAATGGTTAAGCGAGAAAAAAGTTTACTGGCACTTCCTGTTGAGCTTTTCTGGTATAAAATATCAAAAATATATAGATATGGTAGGTCGATTTTTCATCAATTATTGTCAATCTGTAAATATTTTGTTACATAGGAGAATGTCATGCCATAGATAACTAAATGAGAGCTTGTCTCGTTCATTACTCGGACCAATGTAATTTAAAATGACATTAAATGACTTTTCTCCCGAAGGTTAGTGCGGCCAGCTCAGTGAGTTTTTGACAAAATGACAATGAGTTCATCAATACGTAACGTATATATCAGTTTCTCTAATTCTTCGTCAATTTATCCCTTTCTGCACCCATTGTATAAAAAAAAATTTAATCAACGTGTGGTTTGTTTGATCTCAGTTCTTCATTGGTTAAAATCCGATTATGACGTCGAATTTTCTTGCTTTCCTCTGAATTTTCTATTGTGACGGCATTAAAAAAGGCGACCATGCCTGATGACGTCACATAGAAAGAACACATCTTTTTGCAGATCATTCAAAAAGAAGGAATACGTTTGCCTGCAAATTGTTTGAAAATCATTAGAGAAACAGATTCCACCACCAAATCTCGTGTAATACGATATTTATCCACTCTCGGCAGTTAAATTTTAAATATTTAAAACGCTCGGCGAGCCTCGCGTTTTAAATTTGAAAATTTAACTATCTCGAGTGGATGAATATCGTATCACACTCGATGCAGTGGTAGAATCTATATTTCTCTAATTCCTCGTCAATTTATCCCTTTCTGCACCCATTGTATAAAAAAAATTTAATCAACGTGTGGTTTGTTTGATCTCAGTTCTTCATTGGTTAAAATCCGATTATGACGTCGAATTTTCTTGCTTTCCTCTGAATTTTCTATTGTGACGGCATTAAAAAAGGCGACCATGCCTGATGACGTCACATAGAAAGAACACATCTTTTTGCAGATCATTCAAAAAGAAGGAATACGTTTGCCTGCAAATTGTTTGAAAATCATTAGAGAAACAGATTCCACCACCAAATCTCGTGTAATACGATATTTATCCACTCTCGGCAGTTAAATTTTAAATATTTAAAACGCTCGGCGAGCCTCGCGTTTTAAATTTGAAAATTTAACTATCTCGAGTGGATGAATATCGTATCACACTCGATGCAGTGGTAGAATCTATATTTCTCTAATTCCTCGTCAATTTATCCCTTTCTGCACCTATTGTATAAAAAAATTTAATCAACGTGTGGTTCGTTTGATCTCAGTTCTTCATTGGTTAAAATCCGATTATGACGTCGAATTTACTTGCTTTCCTCTGAATTTCCTATTGTGACGGCATGAAAAAAGGCGACCATGCCAGATGACGTCATATAGAAAGAACACATCTTTTTACAGATCAACAGACGGAATAAGTTTGCCTGCATATTGTTTGAAAATCATTAGAGAAACAGATTCCACCACCAAATCTCGTGTAATACGATATTTATCCACTCTCGACAGTTAAATTTTAAATATTTAAAACGCTCGGCGAGCCTCACGTTTTAAATTTGAAAATTTAACTGTCTCGAGTGGATAAATATCGTATCAAACTCGATGCAGTGGTAGAATCTATATATATGAGTGTTCTTTGCAATAAAAATAAACGTATAATAACAGTTTTTTTTTCTATTTCTTACGAATTTAATTTTATTAAGCTGAATATGTTATAAAGTATGTCAGGTAATTGAGATTGTCTGGTATCGGTTGTGATATTCTGGAACAATGTTGAGATCTACTTTTGAATAAAATTTTCAACTAGCTACGTATCAATCGGATACAACCGTCAAAATTCATGAACTTTCTGTATAGTGTTTGTCATTTATCTGGTTTCTGGTTTTGACATTAGTTTTATATGGAGCCCTGTTGGTCTAATACAGATACTAAAGAGTTGTGTGCAAAGACCAGCGCTGTAGATCTTAATTTTCAGAGCTGTAGATTCAAAGTCCTGTCTTGCTTCTTTCAAAAAAGGCTTACTGTTGTATCATGTAAATGCATATGTATATGGAAACAGCATCCCGCTTCATAGGTTTGATTTACAATAGGTAAAATGGTAAAATATAATCTCTTTTATAGGTGTTACCAAGGAAACAGTTTGCATTTATTCGATACAAAATATTGGAAAAAGGGGGATAAAAATGTCACAAATGTCCTCAAAAACATGGTCTAAAGTAGAAATTCAATCCATTTGAGTGACATCTTTTTTGAAACCATTGACATGTATCTATCTAGATGTCAAATAAAAACCATATGCGTTTAACATAATTTTTCGATAAAATTGAATTGAAAAGTTTGAGCGTATAAAAAATGTTAAAAAAACACGCTTCAATAATTTCTGGACCTTATGTCGGAACAAATGTGATACAAAGACTGTCAAACAAAAAAAAATCACTATAAAACATGCGAAAAACAATCTTGATGTTCATATAAACCTCTTTTGACAGTTATATTATTCTTCAGCTATTTAAGAATAAATTTCATAGCACACCAACTTTCTTATTTGACAAATTCACCGGGGCCGAATAGATAAACCAAACTCCTAACTGTGTATTGCTACCTTATACCTACAGCGCTCGACTTTACATCTTCAGCGCTAGACCTTACATCTTCGGCGCTAGACTTTACATCTCGTTTTCTACTCTTTTCATACAAAACTTATGTTAAAACAAGAAACAAATTATAATGACAAACCCCTATTCACGAATTTTGACGGTCGTATCCACTTGACAATTAGCAAGTTGGAAGTTTTATTTGACAGAAGATCTCAACATTGTTCCAGAATATCTCAACCGATACCAGACAATCTCAACCTGACATACTTTATAACATATTCAGCTTAATAAAAATTATATTCGTAAAGAAATAGAAAAAAAAAACACCTGTTATTATAAAGAAGAACACTTATATACTGATATATACGTTACGCATTGATGAACTCAGCTGTCATTTTGTCAAAAACTCACTGAGCTGGCCGCACTTACCTGTGAGAGAAAAGTCAATCCGATGTCATTTTAAATTACATTGGTCCGAGTAATGAACGAGACAAGCTCTCGTTTAGTTATTTATGGCGGCGTTTTGCATTTGCGCCGATCTGCATTTCACTTGCGCCGATTATTTCTTTCATTTGCGCCGATTGTTTTACAGGTAAATTACAGGTGAAAACAATTTTTATTCATCATTATAAACCTCTTCCGCCAGCCATGGCCAGTTATACATATGTTATGAATTATCAATTAAAACATGCATATAACTGTTGCCCCTTCCCACAATGGGGAGATGGAAGTAGGATTTCGAGCAAAACAAGTCAATTTTAAGGTTAAAAGCACTCTGTTTACATCCACTAAAATAACTGAGTATAGCAATAAAATATCAAATGATATAAAAATCTATTTACAGCCTTTAAAATATCAAAGGACAATAAAACCTCTTTACGCCATGAAAAAAGCACAGCACTAAAATGCAACTAGAGGCTCTCGAGAGCCTGTGTCGCTCACCTGATTCTACTTTGGTTTTGGAAATCATGTAAAAATAGATTAAAATCATAACAGATACCATAATAATGAGCGATGCCAAATTTGGTTTAATATTGGCCCTGTAATTTAATAAAAAATCCTGGTGGCCATCTTGAACAGTAAATCGGCAACAAAGTAGCAACACTTCATCAGCTCCTCATAAGAAACATTTATGCCATGTTTGGTTTCATTCCATTCAGTACACCTCTAGAAGAAGCATTTATATGTATTTCCCATAGGGTCTTAATATGTTAAAGGAAGTCCCCCCGCTGGCGGCCATCGTGGATGAAGGATCAGCTTCAAAGTAACAACACTTAGTCAGCACCTCATAAGGAACATTCATGTCATGTTTGGTTTCAATCCATTCAGTGGTTCTCTAAAAGAAGACATTTGTATGTATTGTCCATAGGGTCCTTTGTTAAACATTGTCCCAAGCTGGCGGCCATCTTGGATGATGGATCGGCTTCAAAGTAACAACACTTGGTCAGTACTTCATAAGGAACATTCATGCCATGTTTGGTTTCATTCCATTCTGTGGTTCTCTAAAAGAAGACATTTGTATGTATTTCCCAAAGGGTCCTATGTTAAACTAAGTCCCCCGCTGGCGGCCATCTTGGATTATGGATTGGCTTCAAAGTAACAACACTTGGTCAGCACCTCAAAAGAAACATTCATGCTATGTTTGGTTCCATTCCATTCAGTGGTTCTCTAAAAGAAGACATTTGTATGTATTTCCCAAAGGGTCCTATGTTAAACTAAGTCCCCCGCTGGCGGCCATCTTGGATTATGGATCGGCTTCAAAGTAACAACACTTGGTCAGCACCTCAAAAGAAACATTCATGCCATGTTTGGTTTCATTCCATTCAGTGGTTCTCTAAAAGAAGACATTTGTATGTATTTCCCAAAGGATCCTATGTTAAACTAATTCCCCCACTGGCGGCCATCTTGGATCATGGATCGGCTTCAAAGTAACAACACTTGGTCAGCACCTCATAAGAAACATTCATGCCATGTTTGGTTTCATTCCATTCAGTGGTTCTCTAGAAGAAGTTCAAAATGTAAAAAGTTAACGACGACGACGGACGACAACGGACGACGGACGCCAAGTGATGAGAAAAGCTCACTTGGCCCTTTGGGCCAGGTGAGCTAAAAAGGAGCAAATGGAACTTGAAATTATTGAATCGGCGCAAATGAAAGATTGAACATTTATAAAATCGGCGCAAATGTCATACGCCCCTCTATGGCATGACATTCTCCTATTTAACAAAGTATTTACAGGTTAACAATAAATTAATGAAAAGTTGACCTACCCTATCTATATTTTTGATAATTTGTACCAGAAAAGCTCAACAGGAAGTGCCAGTAAACTTTTTTATCGCTTAACCATTTGGTTGAGATTTGATGCTTTACCAGGCGTTTTTAATACGGTTAATATACCTTTTATGAATAAAGAAATATAATTATTAGGGATATCTTCACACAATTTCTAGAAGAAATGTAGTATTACCAGAATGTCAGTGACTAGTTGTTTACATCTATCGTATTTGGTCTCTGGTGGATAGTTGTCTCTTTGTCAATCAGACTACATGTTCTTATTTTTAAATGAAATACCATTTTCTTCAGTAACTAGTCTATACTTACAAAGATAAACAGAATTCTATGACTAGAATGCCAGCCATTATCAAAAACACCAACCCTGGAAGATAACTAACAGTCTCTTTGTAAACAAAACCATATAACAGCTGTGCAAGTGACGTCAGCAGCAATTCAGAACTTCCAATACTGGCAAAAAGGCTACCTAAAAATAAAAAGTGATGACGGTTACCACGGGAACGTTTTGTTATACATTCTTGCAAACTTGTAGTTAAACAAGTAAATTAATTTATAGCCCAAGGGGACGACCATCGAAAAAGTGGCCACTTATAGTTGTTAACTTCTACGTCATTTTGGTCTCTGGTGGAGAGTTGTCTGATTGGCAACATACCACATGTCTTCTTAATTTATATTGTCATAATTTCTCTTTTACCTAAAACATAAAAATTTAATATTTCAACACATTATTATTTTTGTCTTTCCGTGTTTAACGGGAAAATATTGGTCATGAGTTGCAACTTTTAATTAAGAGGACTACTTATTGCGGACCTGTTTCTGTATTGTTACGAGTTACAATTTATGACTAAAATCAGCAAAGACCCATCGAAACAACATCTGATAAAAAAATTTAATAATACTTTTAGATATTTGGATGATATATTGGCTCTCAATAATGACGACTTCAGTATGTACACTAAAGCGATTTATCCTGCTGAACTGACTTTAAATAAAGCTAATACTAACAATGAACACTGTCCTTTCCTGGATCTTGATATCTATATCTTTAACGGGAAGCTTAATACTAAAATTTACGATAAAAGAGATGATTTTAAGTTTCCTATTGTTAATTATCCATTTTTAGATGGTGACGTTCCATTGGCACCATCTTATGGTGTTTATATATCCCAACTTGTACGATTCGCTCGTGTATGTAACAATGTATTTGATTTTAATGAAAGAAATCTCTGTATTACTGAAAAAATATTACACCAGGGGTTTCGATATCACAAACTTTTCAAAACATTTATTAAATTTTATCATCGGTACAAGGACATTATTCGTAAATATAAATCAACGTGCAGACATCTTATACGTTCGGTATTTCACATCCCATCTTTTAAGGTAATATTCTATACAAAGCACAAATTTTAAAATGTCGTCATTCACCTCAAAAGCTAACCAAACCTTTAAACAGACTTATTCAGAAGGGATATAGTTACGATACTGTTGTCAAGTCATTAAAGATGGCATTTTTTGGAATTAATATTGATTCACTCATAGGGTCTTTGCGTCGGAAATAAACACATTTATTCTAAAACCAGTTGTTGGCATGATACGGGTTATGTTCTTCTCGTATATTTTATGATGTTATGATACTAAACCCCTTACGGGAGGGATTGTGCTTGATTTTCATATGATGAAGACATAATCTTTCAATCAGTTTAATTGAGGTCTGGAGTTGGCATGTCAGTTACTGCTAGTAGTCCTTTGTTAATTTATGTTCATCATTGTCATTTTTCCAAGTTTCTTCTGTTACCGTATCTAACATCGGACTTGGACTTCTTTTAAACTGAGTTTTACTATGCGTATTGCTGTGTGTTTTTTATTCCACATTGGCTAGAGGTATAAGGGGAGGGTTGAGATCTCACAAAACATGTTTAACCCCGCCGCATTTTTGCGACTGTCCCAAGTCAGGAACCTCTGGCCTTTGTTAGTCTTGTGTTTTTTTAATTTTGGTTTATTTATATGTTTCGGAGTTTAGTGTGACGTCCATTTTCGCTGAACTAGTAAACATTTTTTAAGGGGCCAGCCGACGCCCGCCTCCGGGTGCGGGATTTTCTCGCTGTGTTGAAGACCCATTGGTGGCCTTCGGCTATTTTCTGCTCTTTGGTCGTGTTGTTGTCTCTTTTACACATTCCACGTTTCCATTCTTAATTTTATTTAGACATGAGTTGGTTGTGAATGAAAGGGGGTTTATCCTACTGCCACTTGAAAAAAAAGTATTTAGTGGCTGTGATAGTCACCCTGGCGAGGAAATTGCAGAGCTGTTAGAAGCATTCATTATAGCCTGCAGAGAGTGTGTCAATTTATAAACAAGGAGCATGGAATGTAACGCTCAATCAGACTGCACGTGACTGTATTTTATTTAAACAAAGCACAAAGCAAAACAGATCCCTCACAGTCATCTTATGGTCACTACTTTGCACATATCCTATTATGTTTTGATACCCATAACTGTGTCAAAGTTTCTGTAATTATAGATGGAATATTGTTTCTAAACTCAGATTTAATCTAAATGAACAAAAAATAAAAACAGAATGTGTCCATTTCACACAGCCTATGTTATGAAGGCATTAGAAAAATATGTATCTAACATCGGACTCGGACTTCTTTTAAACTGAGTTTTACTATGCGTATTGCTGTGTGTTTTTTATTCCACATTGGCTAGAGGTATAAGGGGAGGGTTGAGATCTCACAAAACATGTTTAACCCCGCCGCATTTTTGCGACTGTCCCAAGTCAGGAACCTCTGGCCTTTGTTAGTCTTGTGTTTTTTTAATTTTGGTTTATTTATATGTTTCGGAGTTTAGTGTGACGTCCATTTTCGCTGAACTAGTAAACATTTTTTAAGGGGCCAGCCATAGTTTATACCATTGGAGGAAAGGGATGAAATTTCGGTTTTTATATAACCAATCAATATGTTGGTTATTCCCAGCTTTATAAAGGGGCATAACTCAATATCAATAAATAAAGTCTGTGGATGCTCACTCAAGAAATCGTCTGCATTGAAACACAAAATTTTGCTTTATTCCACCAGAGAAATCGATAAAGTTCTACCTAGATCTGTGTTAAGGTGACCCCTTACAATCGATTTCCAAATTTCAAGTGATTTTGTGGATGCCTCTTTAAGTCATTATCCCGAAACAAAAAATGTGACGATTTCCCTTTTATCAAGGGCATCACTCTGTAATGTCAATTAGGAAATCCGTCAAATTCGAACTGGATCTCTAACAAAAAATTTTAAATTTCATCTGATTTGGTGGAGGCCTTTGGACAAAGCATTTTATTGTTCCTCATATTATATGAGTCTGACTAAAACATTACTTTGTTCATTGAATGACACTAGACTGGACAAAACATTACTCAGTTTATTTATTGACATGAGCCTGAACAAACGTTACCATTGTGTTCATCAGGTGAAACAACATGGTCAGACTTGATATGACCTTGGTTAAAATTTTTACCTAAGTCATCAGCTGACACGCGCCTGAACATCGGCTGACATGAGCCTGACAAAAAGTATTTTTTTCATCGGCTGAAAAAAAACATTGTCTTCTTCATCATATGACACGAGCTTGAACAAAACTAGAGGCTCTTAAGAGCCTGTGTCGCTCGCCTAGGTCTTTGTGCATATTCAACAAAGGACACTCTCCTGCATTGTAGACGAGAATAAAATTCATGACAAAAATATCTTTTTTGTTGATCTTGTATTGCTGATCGTTTTGTCTGTTTAGTTTCTCTCTATTTTCTTTACTTTTTGCTCAAAACACAAAAGAGGTTAAAAAATCCTCATTTAAGGACTACCTATCACTCCTATAAAGAGTGACAGTCTACTAACTATGTCGGCAAAATTTGACTTGTTCGTAGATCTTGCCTTGCTGATCATTTTAGCTATTTAAAGTTTGTATTTATTTATTTTAATTTTCATTATATAAGGCAAAACGCAAACAAATTGGTGAAAAACGACGGACTACGACGGACGCTAAGTGATGAGAAAAGCTCACTTGGCCCTTTGGGCCAGGTGAGGTAAAAATTATACTTGTGTCATCAGCTGACACGAGTCTGAACAAAAGATTACCTTGTTCATCTGGTGACACCAGCCTGGACAGCACCGATCTTAGTAACGGTGCAATTGAGACTGCCATAACACCAATCACCGCATCTGTAATGTAATAATGGTGTCACATAAGTATCTTGTGGCAAATGTCAAGCAATGCAAAACCTCCTTAGTATATGAAAAACAAGGTTTTATTGCATTGTTTAGGCTCAATTGGTGTCGACGGTCACACAATTTTCATGTGTTGGGTGAGCGAACCTGATGATAGTTATTCCGGACACATGTGTTGTGTAAATGACCTTGAAGCAGCTTCCATAAACGACGTGTTTCACCCTGGAGAATTGAAGCTATGCGTCACCTCCGACTGAACCACATGCACGTTTTCACACTTTATTTCAGTTTCTATTGCAAATTTTGTGCCAGTTTAGTTGTCCAGGAGTTAAACAGGCGAATTAACTTAAAATCCATATTCGGCAATGAATAGCTCTATTAAATGGTACTCGCTTAACGTCAAATTGACATTATTTCATGCATATTCAGGACGAGTTCGGCAATGGAAAAACTACAAAAATCAATTCAACTTACATCTTGAAAGACGATATTGTTATTAAAGGGGTTGAGATCTCGAGAAACTACTTAAACCCTACCGTATGTTATATGTGCCTGTCCTTATGCAGGAACCTCGTCAGTGGTCGTCCATTGTTACTTTTTTTTTAACTTTTATTGTCATTTGGATAATTTGGTGCTGCTTGTAGAATTTGTTTATACTTTCTCAACTTTTCTTTAGAAACTGAGCAATTCATAGCTTGGCTTACTTTATAGGCACCTGCCTATGGTTCAAGACCGTATGTTCACACACAGGCACTAGACGTTCTATAAATACTAATAAAATATGGGCAATGGGAAGAAAATAGTGACTAGACGTTCTATCAATAATAATAAAATATGGGCAATGGGAAGAAATAGTGTCCATGCATGTATATACATGGACACTATTTTCTGCCCATTGCCCATGCATATTTTATTATTATTGATAGATATACATGGACACTATTTTCTTCCCATTGCCCATATATTATTATTATTGATAGAACGTCTAGTGCCTGTGGTTCACATCTAGACGTCTTTTTTTCTCTCTATTTCCTTCGGTTGCTGTCTCATTGACGTTTACTTGACATCTCATTTTAAAATGATTAAAAAATACTTACATACATAAACTATCCAGTCTTCTGTACTAAAAGCCAAAGTGACAGAGCTTGCTATGGCCGATACTGTTCCTATAACAACTATAGTATAATCTGCCAGGTATCTGTGTAAAATTCTTATGCCCAGTATAATTGTTCCCCAGTTCACCAAGAATTGGACGCAAGTGAAAGCTTGGACGTGAAGCTCACTCCAGCACAACGGATAATGAAGAAAGAATAGAGTAACAACATTTGTTTTCCCCAAGAGTGCCCCAACATTGATGCAAAATATTATCTGCCCTATAACCAATTTTTTATTTCTTTTCCTGTTTCCATTTTTGTACACGTCGAAACAAGCGCATAACATTGCTGTAGTACAAATCTTGATGTCGTTCTTTTTGTTTGACCTTGAAGTCTCGGACAAGATTGTAAGTGTCAATATGAATGCCAAAACGGTACACGCGATGCACATTATCAATGGATGTCTATAATTACCGTCTTTGATCCAATAGCCAAAACCTAATGTCGCTAAGGCCAAGGCAACGGCAATAGTCCCTTCCAATACGGTTATCTTCATTGCTCTTTCCTTGCCGGGAGTTGTAATATCAGCAATCATCCCCATCAAAGCAGCTAAAAATAGACCAAAATGGCCAGTGATGCCCAGGAAAAAATCTCCTAAAGCTAAAAACCAAAGGGACAATCCTTTGTAAACGGTAACGATCATCACGATTTCTTTGAGTAAAACTCCAACAAATGAAAGATACAATGGAAATTTTCTTCCGTATCTGTCTGTTAATGCTCCTAATACCAAAATAGGAATTACAGCGATTAATGTACTGATGAATCCCAAATACATGAGTATGGTTGTAGATTCTGCTTGGACGATATCACTTGTACTGTTTGAAAGTTCGGTACCATTTGGGCAATAGCCAACGTCTGAATTTTTACCATCTCCTCCATATTTCTTTGCAACTTCGTCTATAACATAAAACTGTTGGATTGGGAGCATTGCCGTCAAAGCACCAAAATGCAGAATGCAAATAATTTCTATCGCAATGAACTGATATACAGGACGAACAATGACTGGTTTTTCATTGGGCTCATCTGGTATGAGCAAAAGTGGTTCATCTTCCTCGATGGAATCCATTCTATAATATAAACTTAGAAAGTGAGAAATAATTTTAAATTTGCAAATATTCTGTACTTTCTAATCCTGCAGAAGTAACATAAAGGATGTACCCTAATTTCTATAGGTGCTACATATTTTGATTTTAAGCATAACTTAAGGCAAAGCGTTTTGAAACTAAATCTTTTATCAAACAACCCATTCAAAATTCTAACAGAAATATGCATATATAAAACCAAATAAGGGGGAAAACGTAAATAAGACAGTAACCAAGCGTCAAAAGAACCAAAAGACATATAGAGGTCAAATCATAGAGGCCAAATCACGGACTTCAACTATATAGATATATAATAGATGCCCATACATACAAGATGTCAATCTCTTAATCGCACAAAATGACAAAAACATTAAAGATATAAAGAAAGACAACTACTAACTTGGGGACAGTCACGTGAAAATGTGGCAGGGTAAAACTAGTTTGAGATATCATCGTCCCCTTTGAATTTCGATAAGTGTAATAATAAACAGTACATACTCATGATAATAGAATGTTTTAAATGTAGTATACATAAAAAGAACTTGTGTATGGATTGGCTATTCTTTTTATGTCCCTTTTGGTCATATAGCTCATCAAGTATTATCGTGTGGTATTTTTACATCCATAGCTTTCATATATGTTTGTATTTGAGCGTCCCTGATAAGGGTAAATCCAGAAAAGCGCTTCGGACGCACCAAATTAAAAAAAAATGTTTACTTTCATTTTTAATCACCTTTAACAAAAATTCATCAATAATCAGTGCCAGTTTTATAATTTTTATACGTCGGACGCACGTTTCGTAAATACATAAGACTCACCAATTCTACCGTATACTCTTAAATAAAGGTAACACTCTACATCCCTTTTTGTTATTATCTTTGTTACAGTTATCTTACATCAAATGTCTGTAATTTTCAGCTTATCATGCTTTATTTATCATTTTCATGCCAACACACAACCGCCTCGGTGGTAGCGTGTTCACCTCAAGTGAGTCAGGGCGTGGGTTTGAACCGGTTCAAACCAAAGACTTTAAATTTGGTATTTGCTGCTTCTCCGCCAACCACGCGGCATTATGGAGTAAGAGCAAATACTGGTCAGCTCGGAGTCAGAATAATGTGTCCGGGAAGAGTGACATGTCTTCCTGCGGACTGTTACCTTGTGAACAAGCGCGTTAAAAATCCGGCTCGGCGTGTCGGTTTATTTCTATAAAGCAGGATTAATATTCATATTGCATTAAAATGTTCTCGTCCTGAATATGTATTTAAAGTTGCCGCTGGACATTAAACAGTCACCCATTATCATCATTATCATCGTCATCATCATCATAAATTATGCCAACACATGACTTTCACAGTTGATGCCGTTTATCTTCTATTCTTTATTCGGTGGGAAACCAATAGCCGTGATATATACTGCATCTACTTAAAATGTGCTCGCATGAGGTTGATATGAGTAGCACATATTAACTTCAACCACTTTAGTATACAATTGTTTTGGTATCAGCAACAAGTTAAAGAAGATATTATGATGTCTGATGAAATAATAAAAAGGGGGAGTCTAATCCAATTAACCTTTTTTTACGAGTCCTTAGTTCTCTGGTGAGGTTTATTTTGTACAGTATTCATGTATGATACACACTTTCCCGGGTGGATGTCAAATTTGAGAGGTTGTGACTGTCAGTCACAAGACTCTCTTAAATTCTTGTTCTGCATGATGACTCATTTATTATTGCCATCATCAGATCATTTTCACGCAACTCTTATTTTTTTATTTCGTTGCGAGCTGACTGATGTAAATCTGATCATAATTATATATATGGCTAAAACTTAATTAAATCTTAATTGAAAGAGTTATTTATCAGTATCACAAAATTAGCGATAGCTCGAAATTTAAGTTACTTTAATTTCCGTTCATTCAGTTATCAAATTTTGTAAAACACGATAAATAGGTTTGAATGAGTGAAATGTGTATTCGCATACAACAGTACATATAATGATTTTCAAATACTTCATAAAATAAAACTCACACATTGGTTAAGTCGATGTTTTGTTTACTTCCTAGGCCTTTGCAGTATGGGTCAATAACTAGAACATCATACAGGTGAACAGTTCGGAATTTCTTGTCCTATATTTACGAGCATGATTTTATTATAAAATTCTAAAATACACTTATCCCTATAATAAATTGAATGGCGAACATTTGGACACCACTACTAATTAATGTCTTGTTTTACTTTTATGTTGCTATTAAATTTAATTGAGAATGGAAATGGGGAATGTGTCAAAGAGACAAAGACAACAATCCGACAAAGAGCATATACAGGTGCTTGAGGACAGGATCTATAGTCGAGATTCACGTTGATAGTAAACATGCATATTAAGAGTAAAAATATGGTATATTAGTATATATATGGTACAAATAAGTGATACATATTGAAAAATCTAAGATTTATGATAATAAGGGGGAGGGACTATATGGGGGCTCAAAACAGATCAAAACAGGATCCTGTCCTCAAGCACCTATGCCAAAGAGCAGAAAACAGCCCAAGGCCACCGAAAGGTCTTCAACACAGAGAGAAAATCTCGCACCCGCAGGCGAGCTTCAGCTGGCCCCTAAACAAAAATGTGTACTAGTTCCGTGAAAATGGACATCACACTAAACTCCAAAACCTATAAATGAACTAAAATTTAAAAAAAAAAACATTTTTATATAATTATCATACATGCACCGGTGCAATAAATAGTGTTGTGTAGTTTTCCTATAAATCACAGTTTGAAAAATAAGAATTTCTTCCCTTATTTGGGTGATGGAAATTAAAAAAAATGCTCATTTAAATATCGCAATTCGAAATGTAAGAACTATAATTATTAACGGTATCAAAAAATGAAATTATACTTCAGCCACTGCTATTTCATTTTTTTTGCTAAATGATAATTGTTAATATTACTATGAGTCTTTCCAGATCTCCAAAGTACATGACCTTTAAAATAATTCTTCTTGGTACACTTTTATCAAAGAATCTTATGTAAAGACAGACTGTTTTGATTTAAACGGTCAAAAGAAGTTAAGTAAATGAAAATGAATTTATAAAATATGGAGATGAAGAATGCAACCCTACTATAAAATTAACCAGAAGACATATAGAGGGCAACAATATCATGACAGGTGTCTGTGCACGTACACTATTTCAGAGTCAAGTTCTAAATCGTCAAGAGTCCATTTAGTTTGAGAATAAAACACGTAACCTGGATTCCCCATTGCAATTGCAATAATGCAAAACATTTATTGAAAACTATGAAGGAACGAAATATTTCTATCCAAAATTCACTCTAAGCTAAATGATAGAATAGCAAATACAAGATGATAGAAAAACAAAGGATATGGGGTATCCATCCATGATATAAAATCAGTACATGCACAGCAAAAACACACAAAAAGCAAAGGAACAGCGCTTTTATTGTGTTTCTTCATCTCAAAGTCACAGTAAGGCCTTCTTTTTAATCAAAGTTCTTAAATGTCATAGACATATAGTATATAAAATCTTTCATAAATAAGACCAGTTTTAATCCATGTGCGCTTATTTCGATCTAAATTGCACGGTTTAGAAGAAGTATTTGATTAGAAAACAAACGACAGAAAATTATCAAATTATGAAAAAAAAATGCTTTTTTTTAATTGACGTGACGCGAAAGACCGTCCCCACAATCTATATCATAAAAGTTCATCCATAGCCGATCATAATCAGTGCAGTACAATACGTAATATATTATGCATACAAACCATTAACTTGTTTCTTTTCAAGGGCACAATTGGTTATAACATGACAAATTTTTTGACACTTTTGTAGCACATTTTTGTAGTTGTATAGTAAATTTTACACAAGGGACGTGAATTAAAACTTTCTGTTTCGATTGTGCTTTGCTATACGAATATACGTACCTTACTAAACCAATCATCTACCCATATGGAAAATGGAAAATGTTTCATACGTGAGAAACGTGGAAGTAAATACAAAAACAAACATACCGTCTTACTTGATGCAAGTCTTGTTCCATTTTGATTATTTTCAAATATACACCCTGCTTTAGAAAGAATTATATATGTAGTTGCACGTTTGCTCCTTCTAATAAAGTATCCTATTGTGAGTAAGTAAATAAGTTGAATCTGAAGTTTTTATTGATTCAAAAGGAAACAGGAATGTCTATATTATAGGAAGGAAGCATTATGAATATAAACAATATAAACTTTTAAAAAACAAGAGATTATTGGGTTTTTTTCACTCCCTGATTTTGATTTTTGTAAAACTACTACAAAATGCAAAATATTCAATCAAAATTATGAATTTGAGTTTAGTAAAAAAAAAAAGATCTCCCGAACGTAATCATGCAGACGATAGTTTGTTATTACCTGCTAAAAGCTGTATTTTATATGAGGGAATGGATGGGGTTTACAGAATAGAGAATAATGGGCAAAAAAAAAGAAAGAATAGAGAATAATTGGGGGGGGGGGGGGGGGGGGGGGGTGCTAAAATATACAGAATAACTGGAAAAATGATTACAGAAAAGAACATTGTCATGAATGTTCAGAATACAGTTATCAAGTAATTATAGAATAGACATTATTATTAAGATAAAGAATAATGATAGAAAAAATCAAAGAATTAATAGATGTAAGAAGATGTGGTATGAGTGCCAATGAAACAACTCTCCATCCAAGTCAAAATTTATAAAAATAAGCCATTATAGGCCAAAGTACGGTCTTCAACACGGAGCCTTGGCTCACACCGAAGACTGCTTCTATGATTCCTAATACGTTTTCTAAATATTGTTCATCAAATATCGCAATATGACCGAGTTCTTACAAAAACTGTTTTATTCCTCTACACGTGTGAGCTGTCTAGAGTCACTGGGAGATGCTATAGTGTTTGGCTGTCATGGTCTGCTCATTTGTTTTTTTTTTTTTTGTTTTTTTTTTTTAAATTTGTA